AGAAAATTAACTCTATCCCAGCCAAAACCAGGACACACATGATTCACTATTCGGATAAATTGGAGAGGATGTTTTAAAGATTCTCTGAGTGTTTGTGAATCATGGGCACTGAAAGGTGCCAGAATTTAGGGTGCTGAAATATTAACGGGCCATAACCTTCGTAGGATGCAAGAGAAGCCACTGAACTGAACTCACTTATATCATTGTAGGCAATGAATTTTCCTGAAATCACATTTTAACTTGTGTGTTTCAATAATATATTCTAATCCTTAACTCTATGAGACAGAATTGAATTTCAAAATCTATTTAGGACTATATCACTAGGTTTAAGAGGCACTGGAAGGAGAAAGAAGAAACAAGTTCATGCACAATAAATTCAGAGCTTAAAGTGAAGCCGAATTCCCTGAAAGACAGCAGAAGCAATGCAACTCAGAAGCAATCCCTCTGTCTAACATTTGCTTACGATAACACTTGACATGTACTTTATATCAGCACACACAGCTCTCATCATTTACACCTGTTTAGTGGTGCAAAATGTTCTCAGTCTGTGTTTCAGAATATCCCAGTTTACTAGTGTTTGTCCTTCCAGATGTTTGACAAGAAAAAAGGGGACCAGAAAAAAATTCACAAATTGATTCCTGACAGTAAAGAAAGACGCAGTGAGCAATATGTTTCCTCAAGTTAATAGAGCAAACCAGTATGTCTCTATTTTTCAAGCCCTTCAGCAAATATATTCTCAGTCTTAACACAATCTTTTTTGAGATGACAGTGGTAATCAAGCAGATTCCCCTCCAGAAGGCGCGTGTCGCAAAGCACCCCACGCGCGCACCGCCTTCCAGCACGGGTTTGCAACCCAGCACAAGAAGCTCCCACTAGGTGGGGATCCTGGGCTGAATTTCAGGTGAGGAATAAGGCGAGCAGGCCAGCAGCTAACTTCGAGGCATAAATATTTAAAGCTCTGATCAAAAGGTTTTGTAGGAGATGTATGATCCCACTCACGCCCATAAAGCCGCCTGATTCTTAACAGCTTTAATTCTTCCTATGGCCATGTCATTGCTAGGGATAAAAGGGGAATCTAACACGCCGATAGCACACTTGGCCCGGTTGCCAAAAAAAGAGTAATGAAAACACATTATGCTTTTCCCCATGTTTTATAATAGTTTTATAGAATTATGTACCACGTACCATCTTAGTGTGTCAATACGCACAGCAAATACTTGGCTAACACAAAACATAACTAGAAAACGTAACGGATGAGCACATGGGACATACACTGTGAAGCGTTTGGTGCTTGCTCCTACCTAACTACCAGGTGCGTGCAAACGATGAACTCGGGTTTGGAATTCCACTGGTGGTAGGTGATGTAGTAGTGTGTCTGCAGCCATATCCACTGCTGGCCTTTGGTCAGGAACCGATAGTAACAGGACTTTCCTTTTCCAAACTGCATCACTGTTAAACAAAAAAGAAAGCAATTTATAGCAAACAGAAATTTCATGGTGCAAAGGCGATTGATTAGAAAAACCACTCGGTCCCATACCCCTCTTGCAGTCTGCTACAGCACTAAAATGGCTCTTGCGGCTTTATAAACACAACAGATGATACACAGCCACATACTGAGCTTTTATTTGGGTTCTTTTCTGCTACTGATTTTCAAGAACGCACTTTGTTATTTTGAGATTGTTCTTATAACTAGTAATTGGCATAACTATATAACTAGCTATAACTCACAACTTATTCCTGGGCTCTTCTGAAGTAAGCATAAATAACATTAATTAAACAAAGTATTGGCCTTTCACACGTACATGAGAATGCATTTCAAAGACTTGGGGCCTGAAGTCAGGATCCTAATAATGGCACAAAACAATAAGATAGTGGAGTTTTAGCAGTTTAATTGAGAGTTTTCTCACGAGAAATGAACTAAATACACCAGACCTGGTACGTATTATCAGGGTATGTCCAGAAAAATCTCAAGTGGTGTAATACAACTGGAACATAATGAGGGGAACTACATTAAATAACCACATTAATTGTTCCTGGACTGCTGGGAGTACTAAATGAAACATGCTCACTTAAAATACCCATAATTAATGCAAAGTAAAATACAAACGTGGTTTAAGCAAACCCATTTCACTTCACAGTAGGCAAGATGCGGGCCCAGAGCGGTCAGCCTGACGAACGGGAACTTACCAAGCCACACTAACCCAAGTATTTTTACTCACCTGCACACCTGTACTTTGTTAAATATCAGGACTAACTTATTTAGCAATCCCATTAACAGTGATGGGCTTTAGATGAAGCACTTAGTGAAGGTCTTCTGGCCAACATGCCATGCTAGGGATCACTCAGCTCCTAGTCCTGGCAGAGACTTCCTCAAGCAGCTTCTGTAAGTCACTTTGCCAGTACCTTACTTTGTCCCCCTGCGCAGTAAGATTAAAAGATCTTTTCCTTCAGGTGTGTTGTGCAAATACTCTTTTAATATGTAAGAGGAGATCTGCGGCTAGTAGAGATGTAGAACATAAATCACTAACTAGATTCTCTGATGAATGATCTGACCCCACTCTAATATAGTTAGCGTCTACGTCAAACTGCACACACATACTACCGAAAGGGCATCGTCTGGTTAAGTAGCTCACTTCTGTCTGAATGGTCTTTTAACCAAACAGCACTAAAAAGTACTGTACTTGAGAGCAATTAAAATATTCCTTTAATATTCCCATCTACATGCTTGCTGCACTTGACACAACTTGCATCTGGCCACTTTCACAGGCTCCTTCGGGGGCTCAGCCAGGCAACCCGCTTCCTCGCCGCCTGTTTTGTACCAGCACTTTGCCTTGACAAGGCAGAAAAGTCGTCAGGGAAGCGGAGTGGGGAAACTTGACATTCAGAGAAGTCATCATTTTCTCCATTCTCTACCACGTCCTTTAGCATCTTATAGGTGTAAGTGGTAGAGGGTATGTGGTAGAGATGGGGCTGATTTGTAACTCAGAGACAAAGCAGCTTGTCTAGCTCCAGCATGCTGGGGGCTGTGGACTTTCTTGGTGTCCCTGTATCGCACTGCTCTGCATCTCTGAGTAGTTACAGCATCCCACTTTCTCGACTCTCTGGGGTGTCCTTGTTTTCTTTTGACAAAACACTCTCCTTTCAAACAGAGATAGCAGAGAGACAAACAGATAGTCTGCCCAACAGGAAACCTATAAGGAATATTTCTTGGCAAAATATCTGATTACCTAGATGCGTTTTACAAAGTGCGCAGTTACTTTTCATTATAGTGCTTGGCAATGCAAACCAGCTGGAGGACACACCTAATTCTGGCTCAGCATCTCAGTCCGAAGCACATGTAACAAAATGGAAAAATACAGTCTCAGGGATAAAACATCTCACACACTCATCTGGTAGGAAAAGCACACTGATTAATAGTAGACAGCATCTGCCGCCATCTTTTGCCCTTCCTCAGATCAGCTTCAGCCTTCACCAGGACACGGCGCTGCACTGCCGCAGTACTCAGCCTGAGCGCTCCTTCTGACCTGGCTCCTCCTGGGCTCTTGCAGGTCACAGTATTTCACCTTGCACAAAGATGAACTTCATGGACTTTCTCTGGTGTTCACACATCAACCCGAACTGGACTTTTCTGCTTTTCTGCCTTACTTTCAGGTCGACCAAAAATGAGCCATTTTCACCCACAGGGAATCTGTATTTGGTACTCTTGTATTTAAAAAAGAGTCTGAACCTCCAGAAGCATTTTACTAATAGTAAGTGAGGTTCACAACATCTAATTGCACAGGCAGGCGATCCAAATGCTGCTTTCAGAAGGCATTCTGGTGAGCTGAGCCTCCTGGCTGACTCCAGAGCCCAGCGGAACAGCAAGACCCCACGAACTGTGACAATCAACAAGACTCCCAGGGTTTGGGGCTGCTCTCACGAACTTGGGGTGTAAAGTTATGACTTCCCATCTATTAATCTCATTTAACTCTCAGACAACCCATGCTCAAACAGGGCATCTGCCAATTTGGGAAATCTGCACAAAGAGTTCCTGATCTGAGCAAATTGTGCAGGGATTCAACTTCCTAGGTAAGTGTGAGCTATGACAGTCTCACTGTCTGGGAAGAGAGAATTCCCTCGTGCCCCAGATAAAGATGCTTTTTGCGACAACAGTAAAAGGTTTTGCACGAGTGACAAATGAGATCAAAGACAGGCACGCTGCAGAGGGAGAGGAACTTACAGTGTTCATGGCACCTAGCAAGAAGCTCCAGGTCATCTGCGTGGTAGTAATCATACCCTGACGTTCCCAGAACTTCAAAGGGTAAATATCCTATAATAGGCGGAGCCCTAGAAGGGAAGCAAAGGGCAAGGAGTGAGCCCAAAACGTGACACTGACATCCTGGCAGATACGCTGTGATACTAGCGATCAAAACCATCTCGTACGTTCACTTGGCAGGGAAATCAGGAGTGGATTTTCACATATGCAATGATGTATTTTCATATACAAGCAAAATAAAAACAGCAAGGGAGAGGTAAAAATTGAGAAAATGAAAAGGTGTGTGTTTACTCTTTCATAGCCTATTCATTATGTGGGTGTAGAGAAAGGCTCGTACGTATGCAAGTGACTCAATTCATTAAGCACGCTTGTGAGACACGCAGCTTGAGAAACGCTATGGCTGTTCATGTGCATAATAACTTGGAGCTTGAGTAAAATTATCCAGTAGGTTGGATGTAAATGTCATCTGGGTAGCAACTGTAGAAGAAAGAGTAAGTGGGAAACTGCAATGTGTATCAGGACCAGCTTGGGTAGAAGAAAAAGTAATTGTTCCCATGGAAAAGCTTGGGAAATTATAACCAGCAAAAAATGTTTCTATGCTGGTAATAAAGATAAGAACAGGCATGGGGCTGATTTTCAGGACTGTTCTTTCTATGGCAGGTAGAGAAGGAATTGAGGAAGTATTTAGATGGGCACATTGCAATGACTTACCTGACTATTCTGCTGTCAATTCTTGATTTTCCATTTTCTAGGCAACATATGAAAATTTTTTTAAGCAGGTATCCTAACAACACTGAGCTTATGCACAGCTTCACCGGAGCCTGCTAGCTTATGATTATGAAACAACACTGAAATGCGAGGAGAAGAAACACTATTTTTGCCTCTACTCCTTACATCAGCGTGCCGCTTTCTGTCCCCTAGTGCTCAACTACACTACTGCTTGCACCACTTCAAGCACTGCACGTACTGTGTGAGGCAGGACTTGTGCTAATGTGGCTCCACCTATTTGTTTTGGCTGTTGGACGTGCTGATAGCATGAGGCTCACCTGCCAAGTTCAGCACGTTCCTCAGGAATAAGGCGGCGGTGTGTTAGTGAAACAGTTAATGTTTCAAAACCGGGGCAGTCTGAAGGTGTCACTGCCCATCAAATGTGCCTCTCCCGCTGCCTTTCTCTTGGTGTGTCAAGCGACCCTCTTAAGGAAGGTGAATGTCATAAAGAGGCCAGGAATATGAGCAAAAAATTAAAGTGTAAGTATATTTGGGTTTGGATGGATCAGTCCTGAGTCTTCTGGATATTAATATGGGAAGTTCTGTCCTGGCTGAGTGACCGAGCTCCACATTTGTACTCTTGAGAGACATGGTGGGCATAGATTATTCAGCTGAAGAGAGCCCAGACAGGTCTATAACCTCTCCCTTCCCCACAACCACGAGCAGCTTGGCACCCAACGGCAAACAGGGGGGAAAGGAAGGACAGCCAGGGATCTGCTCAACAGCAGGCCCAGGAGGATCAAAGTCTCGGCAGGAGCTCCCGAGTCCCAGCACAAGGGGTTGGCTGGAAGAGCCAGTCCTCCGCACCCTCTGATGGCAAATCTCTTGAAACAGAGTGCACTTAGTACGCAGTGGTCTCTGCCACAACGCAGCCTTATTTATTCAAATAACTTTTCATAGAGCACCGTGTTGCTTTTCCTCATGTGACCCAGATTTCTGTTAATGATGATAATATGTGTATTTATTAAAGTGTCCCTCCTTGCTGTCTCTTTGGCAGAACGTGTCAGTCTCTCCTATCTTTGATGACATGCTTATATTCAAGACAATGGTGTCTTTCAGATGCACATCAGATAAACATTTAAGCTGATCAGGAAAGTATTATGCTTTCCTGACTTTCACCAGAATTCTTTAAATGAGAAAGCAACCACAAAATGCTCCTCATCTGTCATTTGACAAGGAGCTGCCTTGCTTGTGGAACAATTTGCAAGTGTCTTATTAGCTTAAGTTCCAGCCTTGAGGCCTGCAACTCTCTGTGCAAATAGAAATGCACAGTCTTCAGAGAGTCTTTCAAGTCCAGTCTTCTAACAAATGAAGGGAAATAAGGAGAGGACCACAGTACAGAAGAGAAAGAGATCATAGTTTTTTTCCTCTACACATATTTACATGTAGACCCAGAATACAGATTTTTCCTAGTTTTCTAAGGTTTATCCAGATCTATGGAGTGCTTTCTGCATTAGTTATCTTTACTCCACTTTATGCTGTTGTCATGATAGCAAAGGTCCTGATTGCAACTCATGTTGGGTACCCTCTGCCCCTACTGATGGCACACCTCAGCGTCAGGTGGTGTGAGTTGACACAAAAATAAGCAAGAAACAGCAAAATACCCAACAACATTTCACAGCGTCCTGCAGACTGTACTGCAGAGAGGTTTGAATTGGTGATTAAATGAGACAACCCACACGATCCCCCGCTCCTTCTCGTGTCTGGGCTCACTGCTCGCATCCGGGGCTGTCACAAATTCTGCCTCAGCATCTACATCAGCTTAATTTACTCTCGGTAACAATGGTTTCCTCACTGGGGATGAGTGGGACCGGAGTGGCTGCAAGCATCTGGCGCAGAAAGATTCCTCTCTGAGTCATAACCCAGATTCATCTAAAGACTCTTTGATAGGTTTCAAAGCAGCTCCTGCTCGCCTTATTCACAGGAGCTGCTGGGACACAGCCCTTTGGAAAACGAGCTCACTTCGTCAGACAGTGAAATAAGGGGCTTAGGACTCTTTTACAAATCTTACCACTAATCACCTGATTCTGAAAATGTGCATTATTGGACAGGCCAATTAAAGTCTAACAAAGTCACTCCAGCAAGAGCTTGACAACATGAATAATAAGCCGGCTATCCCAAACCACGCAGCATTAACTGTAGGACTGTCGCAGTGTCAGTTCCTCCATGTTTCAAGGTATGATGCGTGAGGAACACACCTTGTTTACTATATAAATGCAAGTTATTATTCACTTGTATTTTCTCTCTCTCTTTCTTGCTCTAAATGTGTGATGATATTTAGGTTTTTTTCCTCCCCAATATTTTTTTTCCCTGAAGTCTCGTGTTTCTAGTAATGACTACCTTTGCACAGCTTGCAAAGGAGGGATAATGGTAAGGGCAGGATTTTGCAATGTGCTCATGCATACATGTCAAATACAGAGAAGTAAAAGGGTGAAGAAAAACCTCCAGCTTCTTTTGAAGAAAATGAATCCTATATTAATCAGCTTAATAAAGTGGTTCCAGTCTGTTTCATTCACCAAGCTGAATCCTAGCTCACCATATGGCATTGTCAAAAACAAATCTGCAATTAAATAATCTATTCCACTGCTTTTTCTTTTATTTTTTGTAAATTCCATCATTTCTCAATGTGAAAATCAAAAGTTTATTGACAGAGGAAAAGATTTAGAAGGATTCCTGGAAGCTATAGCTGGAAAACAGAGGAGCTAAACCAACACAGGGAACAGGACCCACACTGCTCAGTTTGACCTAATATCTTGGTGAAGTTAGACATTTTTCTAGACATTTTCCCACCATTTTATATGGTTTCTTACCTGCCTAAAATATGGAAAAACGCAAACCATTTAAGGATGCCTAATAAGTACGTTCAGAGTGTTATTACTTACTCAGTTGCATTTAATTAGAGCTATTCTACTTGGGATCTCAGGCAATAGCTACACAAAATTTTCTGGTTTTAAACTACAGTTTGTTTATTCTTCAGTGACTAAACCCAAATCTCTTACCTGTGGTCCAAGAATAAAAACTTCCATTCCAAACTATGCCTCGATGTAAATTCTTCACATGGCTCTTCAACATTGCAGAGCTCCTGCAAAACAGTTGGCACACTCAGACATTTAATTCTACGAGATGCCAAAAGGACTCCTCTAACAGGACCAAGGATGCATCTTCTTGGTATAACAAACCCTAGCAAAATACAGGGCTTTTAAAGCACTTGACTTATTTTCCTCTAAGGAACGTATAAGCCTTGCATAAACTGATGAAAAGTGGCTGAAAAATTTACCCTGGGCTGAATTTGAGAGCTACAACAACTAGTCCAAGGGCCTCATTTTGCAGTCTGTAGGCAAAATTCCCCAGCTTTTTGTAAATATTGGTATCTGAAGATGGATGACAGCACCAGGTCCAGCCTCAAACTGAGCTGGCTGATGGTCTCTCCAGCAAGAAGCACCTCAGGTCATTATCCCTGTCATCACTGTGCTGCACCACAGGACACTTACAGACCAGCAGAAAGAGTCCATGAAACACGGTGTTCACAGTGGTTCAAGATGTGGGTGGCCTTCTTACACAAAGGAGCGATGGGATGTATTTCTTTAAAGGCTGCAACTTTTCAAGCGGTTTAGCTGGTCACCTTGTATTGGTGCTTCCTGGGCTGACTGCTCTGAGACACCCCATCACACAACTGCCTCTTCTCAAAAGCACCTCCCGCTTTATATCTCGTCATTCCAAAATACACACTTATGTCGTCTCCCACTCACAAACACAGCAGTGTCCTCTCTCATCTACCAGCCCTCTGCACAAACAATCTGTGCTGCTGAATATGCTCTTTGAGATGCTGCTGCAACACAGCTCCCCTCGCAACAGCCAAGCACGCAGCTCGTGGTACCAGCAGCAGCTCTGCCGCTGAGCACCGGCTGATCCTCGCATGAAAGGGAAGAGGTAGTCACAGAGCTCTCACCTTTAAGAACTGCGGTGTGACAAGACGAACAGTTGCTACGAGGCAAATCTGCTCCTCCGTGGCTGACCTGAAAGCTCGTGCAATCGCTGACTCAAAGCCATTACAGGAGGGTGTAGGCACTAGACACAACCAGACAATTTATTTAAGAAGAAGAGGAAGGAGAGCTTTCTTTTCATGTTAAGACAGGTGCAATGACTGATGAAACCCAAGCGACAAAATCCTCCTACCCACAAGGCGATGCCACACTGATACATGCTGATGTTATTTAAAGCATGACCCTTTAGGCTCCGCATTACACAGTTGTAACCACCTACCCCTGGCTTGCAGGGAAGCTTCGTAAGACAGCTCTGAGCAGCTCACAGTGTGCAGCTACAGTCTCCTTGTCAACCTTTCTCCAGCTCAACATTTGCAAGATTCAAGGTTTTACAGGTTTCTCGAACTATTTAATCTTTAAAAAGTGTCATTTGATTGCCGCAAGTGAAACAGAACAGCATAGTTTACTCATTATTTGAATAAGTAGGCTGCTTTACAATTGGCAGTGGGTCAAATGGAGGTAGGATCAGTATCACTTCTTTAAGCACAGCATGCAGAAGAGTGCACTCTTCTAACCAACAGCCTCCCCACCACTTTTATATGAAAAATATCTCCAATGTATCCACAGCTTATTCCATCCCTGCCGATTACGGGGCATCTTCAGCTGAAACAAGGCCTTTAGGAGGCTACAGATTAACACACAATTTAAAGGAGAGAGGTAGAGAGGTAAAGGTAGGCTGCAGCAGTAACTTACCATGAGTAAAATATTTAAAATCCACTACAAATTTCACATATTCATACATCAGGGGTTCATTTGGATCTAAGCTGCCTCTTGCTAAATGGCAGCAAAACTCTATTTGTTTTTCCGCTGAAATGAGAGAGAGGGAGACGTACACATGTTACCAGAAGCCTGCACTTTAGAACACTCCATATATGGATTCTACCTAGGTGCTTATACCAACCCTGCTGCTGTGGTATCTGAGCACACCCTGCTGGGATGCTCTTGATACCGGTAAGTAAATATGTAACTACTAAGAGCAACGATCAGCTGGTTCTGCTTAAGGAAATGTATTCTCACCCTTTCTCCCATGGCTTTATAACCACCCCACTACACTGGGTGTGAAGCCCTGGCAATATCGGTCAGCAGTATTTTCCCCTGACTTTGTGCATGCTCGATTTCATGCAAAGCTGTTAAGCGATACTGCAGTACTTTGCTCTGGCACTGCTCAGTAGGACCCAGATCCAAAGGGCACTGAAGTCACCCTAAGCCTTTCCATTAACGGTGGAGGGCACCATGCCAAGCTCTTATTCAGTTTTCTGCCCAAGGTCTGAACTCCATGGATTAGGCCATGCGGTCTTCAGCCAGAGGGAAGCCAACCCCAGGGCAGAGCACCAGCACGGGGGCTGCCCAGTTCCCACTGACACTTACCGGGCAGCAGAGAGGAGGCTAGCACTGCCCGGCCACAGCGAACCCACCGGGAAAGGGGTCTCCCAACACAGGCTTGGTGAAACGTGGCTGTTAGGAAGACCCTGCTGCCTGCTCTGGTGCTGGGGATGTTTTCTGGGGGAAAGGGACATTTTGGGGGTGGGACAGCAGCCAGCAGTAGAAATCTGGATGGACTGTTCAGATAGGAAGGCTGTCCCTTAAATTACATGTAGGGTTTCTCAGGTGTCCTGAGACATGCAAGCTTCCTAAGGAACAAAGACTCTGCCAGAACCCTTTGGGATTTCTCCTATGCTTTCCTTCCCCCAAGTCCCTCACTCCTTTCACAGGCTCATTCCAGCATCCTGCCCTGGGAAAAATATCTAATGAGGGCAACTTCACTGTCCTATGATGCAAAGCAGACAGTAAAACAAGGACTGTCCAAATCAAAGACCAAGTACTGGGAGCATGTAGGAACATTAGATGATGTGCTGCATTAAAAAGCAGAAATATTAACTGCGGCAAAACAGAAGTGGCAGGCAAGAGAATTAAATAGCTGGAGAGCCCTGTGCAGGCTCCCCTGGGAGCTGTTTGCCTTTGGCAAATTTCCCTGACCGACAGACAAGAGCAGATCTTACCGTTTAGAAAATCAGCTGCAACAGGATCTGTCATGAGCACATGTGGAGAAAGGAGCTTGTACACCTCGCTCTGCTCCCGCTCAGGCAGAAAGTTTAATATATTTTGGTCCACCAAATCTGACTGATACAAAAGAATGCTTTGTCATGTTCAGCAGTACAGCCTGACACAACCATCCCGCAGCAGAGACGCTGCCGGTCTAGCATGGATGTTTAAGACAAGGAAGCCCAGTCAATCTGCAGATGGATCTAGGGCAGAATATAACCCTTAGGTTATTTTACCCTGGGGTTGCCATCTATTTGTAAAAGGTTGAACGGGTCCCAGAGGTTACCCTTCAGTTTAGCCAGATGCAAGCTGGAGAAGAATCCCTGGTACCACAGGAATAAAACACGATGAGAAATACAGTACCAAAATGAAAATTTTAAACATTTCCCTTTGGAAGCACGAGACAGAAGTGGGAGAGCTTCTCCTCACATCCTCCATTTGTCTTCTAGGCTGAACATCTGGCAAAATCAGCTCAACCTGCAAGTGTTTCAGTGCTGATAAACCCACACATCCTGACTAAAGGGGTGCTACCAAAATGTCAGCACGTATTTGTTTCTAGGACATTCAGCCAGGTTAATTGTGTGCTCAACTTTGCCCTCACATAGCGTCACTGGTGCCTCGTGCTTGGCAGCAGATAAAGATAAAAAACGTTTTTGAGGGGCCAGCAGAAACTTCTGTACCCAACAGCTAACTGATGTCTAGAAATTCTCCCAGAAAAATCTGAGTCCCCATATTTGTTACTAAAGACCATGGGCTCAAAGTAGAAAGAAACAATGACATTAGGAGAGCATACATTCAGTCCTAAAATCATCTTTAAATTATCTGAGAAGAGCTTCAGCATGCTGATTTCACAAGCATGAGATTTTCCATACACCAGGTGGGATAAACACCACCCAGACCCTCCCTTCAGATGTGCTGCCAAGCAGTGAGCTATGAGTACGGTGGTTTTGCATAGGTGTTTTTTGTTTTTAGGTAACTCGCAGACCCTGATAGAGAATCTGTTATTCACAGAAGCTTGAGAAAGTCCCTAAGAGTTTGTAGGTTTATCCCCCACCCACAGTCAGCTGCCTCTTTGGTTGGACAAAACCAAGCCCCAAGCCCTGCAGTGACGGGGCTGTGTTAAGGCAGGGGAATGATTCTTCAACATATTGCGTTGTCAGAACTTACCGGTAAGTGTCCAAGCAGAGACGAGACACTATCAGATACGTAAATAATAATCCCATCAGTGGTAAGAGCAATGAGAAAGCCATCTAGTGCCTAATGATAAAAGGCAGGCAAAAAGAAAAAAATAAAAAGAATTATGCAAGGGAACAACTTAAAATATAATAGGCCAATTTGTTCTTTGGTGATGCTTCTAACAGCCTAAAACTAACATAAATCAATTATGGAAATGATAGTTGAATGCGGAAAAATAAAATTACACATGCTGTCTAATTCAACATTCTTCTTATATTCTTATTTGCTCATTAATATTCAATTGACTTGTATTTTTCACCCCGTGAGTACTTATTTAACAAGCAGCAAGACAGTGGTGGTTAAAATTTCTACACCCACACAATCCTGGTGACTTCAGTCACTTCATTATGTGTTCTGAATTACACAATGGTTAACCAATTTGGTGCGTAAGGAGATGTCAGATATCATCACGGCAAACCCAGCATTGTGGATAGGTGGATGGATGGATGGATGGAGCAGAGACAGAAAAATTATACAGTGCTGTATTTTTAGCAATTTATGGACAACATGGACAAGATCTAAAGCCTTATTTATTTTGCTTAAAGCACTCATTCGTTAAGCTAGTGACACAACAATTTTAAAGTTTGTTTTATTTCCCCTTTCTTATTCACAATGGTTTCTGTCCCAGAGTCAAAGTTCTTTGTCCCTTTTAAGTCACTGCATGTGCTTTCCTCTTTGGGTGCTGTCCCTATTCTTCACAACATTTTCTTGTACAATTGACTCTGTCATACTCCGCCTTTGCTGAAAATAAGCCCTCTCTAGAAAAAAACACTGATTTTTAAGTAAACTGGTCAATGGTGTAACAGTCCAGCAAGCCAACAGTTATTAAAGGGCTCGCTCTCCTGCCACTTCTAAGGGGAGAATTTGTTTTGATTCAGCTGGAACAAACTAGTTTGGTGAGAGAAATTCCCAGAAAGAATGAACAGACTTTTCCAGGGAGGTGAGTCATGACGTCCTAATGAAAAGGAATAACTAAGACACTGCAGCACCTCCCTGCTCAGCCCAGCATACACCCTTATTTTGGTGGGGCAAAGAGCAACAGCTGCCCACGCAGGGTAGGAGATGTCCTCGCCGGAGGAGCATGCAGCACAAACCCAAAGCAGCATCCTTAAGAAAGGAAAAAATCTAGGCTCATGGGGTGTTTCTAGATCAGCTAAGCATTTTATAGGTGAGAGTATCAGAGCTGTTCTCCCGACTGCACTTAAAGGCAATCCAAGCAAAAGATACAGCTCACATCACAAGTACAGCACCGCACAGCTAGCTGCAGCAAAGGCAGCGAAGTAAATGCTGCCTGGCTAATGGGATGTGGGAGGAGGAGAGCTGCTCAGTTTTTTTCAGGTCCTTTCAAGGTTTTGCTAAAACTTCTAGTTCTAGCGGCTCTTCTGAGAAAGGAAATTCTCTTTTTCCTCTCTCATCAGGCCAAACATGGGCCAAATTGGTCTTCATTCCTAAAAGAAAAGCTGTTTATCTTTAAGGGGAAGCAATCATATTTTTAATTCTGTGTCTGCAAAGCATTTAGCACAACACTGGTCTCCGTCAGGTTTGGATTATATGTGCCAGCAGAGTAGAAATCATTAACACTAACACTGGGACCTACAGGTGAAAAGGAACTGTATCTCTGAACTACTTCACTGAACTGATTACTTCTCACTAATCTATGCAGCTTTAATTTCTTCTTACCTCTAACATCAACTGGGTGAACTCCTCGTTGCTAAGAAATGAAGGCTTCCAGTCTTGTCTAATCTCACAGGCTTCTGTCTGTGCTGTGATTTCTTAAAGAGAAAACATCAGAAAAGCAACATGACTCATGCTAGTTGGCATTTTTTTTTCACTTTCAAGTAACACCAGATTTCTTTTAAGAGGCTTTCAGAGGAATCATCCTCAGATCTTTCTCCACACAAAGCCTTCTTGCATGCAACAGTCATTTTCCACGTCATCACGATACAAATGCATTAGAAATCAAGAAAAGGAAGAGGAGACATTTTGGGTGGTCTGAAGAAATCCTTCAAAAATTAAGGTCAATGGGCTAATTTCAGAGTAGATGAGCATCACCATGAGCAGAGGGTGTCTGCAACTCTGGAGCTGTTTCAGTAAGGCTCATGGGAGTGCCCAGGCAGCAGGACAGGCTGCACCCAGCCATGTCCTACCCCAGGAGACCTGGGAACAGGCAGAGAAACCCTTTTCCCCTTGCTTTTGTAGTCCATGCTGTTCCTCAGCTCTTCCTCCCTCCTGCTCTGTTTGAGACTGTACAAAGCGTGCTGGGGGCGTGGAGACCAGCAAGGGAAACGGAGCAATGTCACTACATGAAAAAGCATACAGCACCGCATCTTTTCAAATCTATCTGTGTTTAACTGCTCAGCACCGCATTCAAACCTGGAGCAGGCCAGCACCCTCTGGTACCTTTCTGTTTCTGTAAGAAGTCGATGGTCCTCTGCAGTATTGTGGACTTGTCCATCTTGAGAGGGTGGCCGTGGCCCTGCAGCATTGTGCAAAGCTCCTTAATGAGGACATTGAACTGGTCTCTCCTCTTCTTTTCAGATTTGTTCCGTGATGCCCTGGGTGACAGAAACATAAATGCCGCTAAGTAAAATGAAGGACCTACAGCTCGACCCAGGGAGAGGTAAATGGCCCCACCTCAGCAAAACACTTTAAATACAAGAATCCAAACTCTGCTGGGACTGCTCATTTGTTTAAAACTAGGCTCGGGTACAAGCGCCTTGCTGGTGCTTAGAGCCTAGCAGCAGGACTGAGCTCACCGTCAGCAAGGAATGCCTGGAGGTAACAAATATGATTTATATTCATTTGAGCAAGACTGTATCCTTACATACATTTCAGAGGCAGTTCCCACTCTTTCAAAAGCAGTGATAATGAGGTGAAGGTGTTATGGGCGAAATTTCTCCACTAAGAGAAGTCCTGGCATCTACATGCTCATGTTTTGCCCACCTCATTTTTATGAACGTTTCTTTTCCAGTTAGTACACACACGTGTAAAGGTCAAAATGCGAAGGATTCCTTATTCCCTGACTTGTACTTGCAAAAGCAGCTTATAGACAGACAATACTGTGCAGAGACATCTCAACTGCAGAATGAGGTCAAGCACATGCTCTTGTATCTGGTTTTGAAAATCTGCTGCCATGATATATGAAACCGGGAATGTTAAGAGTCTGGCTGCGGAAACCACAGACAAGTTTCCAGCTTGCATTAGTACAATTTAAGAATATTTTATTAGGGTTTTCCCCTCCATTAAAAATAATGAAGGAGAAAGCAAATCCATTCAGTTTCTTCCAAAATGTTCTTTCCAATGCTCATATCTGAGATAACCCTATTTTCATACAACCTCTTCCAGTAGTAATTAATTTTCTTTACAAGCGTATTCATGATGATACATGCTTCCTGTGATCTAGACCGAGTGTGGTATGCAGAAAGCATTTCCATTCATATTCAGGTTGGCATCTGGAGGTTCTCAGATCCAGCATTTATGTTCACAGCCATCTCTGTTTTGGCACTCGTGTACGATGACTAATTAGAACTGAGCCAAATGCTTCTCTGAAGGGAGACTAACTCATACCTGTGCTAAAGCAGGACTGCTCTCTAAGTTTCACGGGGAACTCTACCCGAGGTGGGCAGCACTGCATGATGTCAGTAAAATCACAGGTCAGGAGTCCTGCATCAAGATAATAAATAGCCATGGGATAACACAAGATTCTGAGGGCATGACAATGTAATTTAAGGACCACTCAGCTGATTAAGCCATTGTAGGGGTGCTCAAACACACTATGAGAAGCTTGAAAATGGTGACTTAATTATGCTGTTTGTGGTCCGCTGTACACAGCCTGTAAACTGCATGGGGGTTTTGCCTCTGATGGTCCCAAGTACTTTTTCAAGCATCAGACAACACAGGATTTACAATTCTCCCCCAAGAGAGCTTCCACTCTCAGTGCTCTGTGCACCTCTTCATACCTCTTTGCCCTGTCCTTCTCATCTTCATCCATCAGTTCGTTTACACAACACAGGGCTCTGGAAGAAAAAGACACAAATACTTACCGAGACATATTCCCTGATCTTGTTGAGTATGTCAGAATATGGAGCTTACTGGTTTGTACTTTATGACCTCCTGGATGTTTCAATCTTTCCTTCCCCAAATTCCACTCTCGTTAGGTAGTTTCTTGCTTGTTCTATCAGCTACTGAGGCTTGAGAAGTGAAACCGTTGCTATACGCCCAAACATACAGCCATAACGTGGCTTGAGACGGAAAGAGCTAAGAGCTAGCAGCCCCCCAGCCTGCCTTTGCACTCCCCTCTGCCACAGGATGGGGAACCCTGCTGAAGCACTAAACTCTGCACAGGAATCATCATCTCCCCTGCAAATGTGAGAGCCAGTTTGACTCTGATGTCTGTACCAGGCAGCACTGTGCCTGGTCCTGTTTTGGGAAATCAAACAGGCTGCTGGTTGACTTCAAGCATTGCAATGCTTGAAAAGCATCTGAGATTTCTTTCCCAGTGGAAGGGCATAGGGGGAAGAAGGAAACTGTGCTAATCCCCCAAAGGATTAGTATTAGGCAACTGCAGGGTACTATCAGGACATCTAAGGGATGATATGATAGACAGGTTCATCCAAAGCAGCCTGCAGCTAATGACTGCCGCTTGCACTGGTGGACTTCCACCACCACTGGGATTCACACCCAAGACTTCCAGTTAAAACTTCCTCACCTGGCACTAACCAGTGAAAAGAAGGGAATGTGACCTGGGTTCCCTGGGTTCTGTATGTCCCTGCACTAGAAGAGTCATTGTGGACTGCTGTCTTTATCTTAACTGTTCCTGCAGCACAGGTAAGGAGAACAGTTGGCAACAACTCCCAGTAAGGACACGGTACTCTCAAGCCTCATGAAATGATGGAAAATTCAAGACGAGGGTAACTTCTTCACTGGTGACTTGCTTTCTGTGACTCAGATGGGCTAAGCCCAAGGGATGGGGAGCCAGGCAGATGCCGGCAAGCCAGCTGCCATCACTCCACGCCGCGTTGCCGGGGTCAGCTCTGCTGGGTTGCACCCCCCTCAGACACCTCCAAAGAGGAGGTTGCACTCACCCCAGCATCAGCACCAATCCGCCTCCAGCTCTAGCAAGCATTTTCACTGGCAAAACCCTCCCACCCCACCCAGCACCCAAGGGGCATTTTTCAATGAGTACATCTGAATGTTTTTCCCTGCTTTGAGACTACTCTAAGCTCAAATAACTTGGTGGCTATAAAAGTAACACAAAATAAAACCATCTACAACTGATAGGAAGGCAAAGATGTGGCTCACAGTAAAAGCTACAAAAATTTACCCTCCCTTTCCTGCTCCAGGGCAAGGATTTCCCTCCCTGCAGATGACCTGGGCAGAAGAAACTGTATGATTTCTTTTGTCCCAAAATAGGAATGCACTCCATGGGGAGGGAGTGGTTCTTACTGCCTGAGTCACTGAAAGCTACGAGCCAAATTAGAAATTACCTGTTCTATTCCTCAGATTCATCAGTCCAGACTGATGGAGTGGGATTAGCACTTCTTATCACCATGTAAATAGAGACAGAGAAAAATTAATCCTGTAAGGAAAAGCAAATCCAGTTAAAACACAGTTGCAGGCAAGACAGCCTAGAGAGCAGCAATCACTTCAAGCTGAAAAAGTCTACTACTGTAAATTAGAAACATGCTTAAGTATAACTGGTGAAAGCTCAGCAAAGCCTCCAGGAATGGGAGCTGGACCATGTTCTGGGGCTTCTGGCTCTGTGTGCACCACCTGATGCTGCAGAAGAAGCCTGGGAAGGCCAACTTGACCTCTTGTGTCCAAAAAGCTATGTGGCCCAGCAGGGTGGAGGAATGGTCCTACTAGCTTGGGGCCACTGAAGATCGATCGGAGTGCTTCCAAAGTATGACAGTTTGCCTGGCACGCGTGCTATGAAAACCAGTGAGTATGACCCATTCTTCATCTATCCAATCTTGCAAAGAAAAACCTCCTTTGAGACAAACAGGATCATCTAAAGTCAGCGCAAGCCACAAGCACCCACCTGTGGATGGATTTAAGGCCTCCCGCTAAGATTTGCTACTGACAAGACACACGTCTCCTTTTTGTTTGTGATTTAAATGGTTACTTATGAACACCCTGAACTCTTGGCTATACCCACACCACCGTGCCCATCTCTCTGAAACCGTCACTGTTGAAATTTTTTGGCATCAGATGAGCCTCACTCTCAGGAAGGATACGGATGCAACCAGACTGTCCATGACTGACAGCAGTATCTTCAACAACAGCTAAATGCTGGGCTTCCAAATTTAACAGGCTCTTAACGCCGTTGAAGTGACATCCCCGCTTTGAGCCCAGGTTGGCGGCTGTTTCTCCTGTTACCATTAGTTCCAACATCAGCTCAAGACACTGCAAAAAACTCACTGCCACTACCAGGGATGACATATTTGTAACCACGGTGAACAAGCAAACATACCCCCACATTTTTGATCATCTAAAGGACTAGCAAGAGCTTGTTCATTTCTCCAACTAGTGAAAACACCTCAAAGGCAACACAAGAAGGTGGCTGAAGAACCACTGCAAGAAACACACGTCGAGCAACACAGATCCCGACCAGTGATACACTGAGAGTGCCTTAAGAGGAGGTTTATGTGAGTAATGTGAGACAACAGGACAAATTCCTGCTCATTGCAGCTAAATGAAATTATGTCAGTCCATTTGCTCAAAAAGACTGGCTCAGATAAAGCCTGATAGGGTGGTTGTAAATGTACTATGGAAGGTATCTGCAAGAGGCTTGAACCTCCTGACACAACAGAAGTACAGGAGTAAAATACAAAATACCTAATGTGTTTCAGTGGTAAGTGATTCAGTAAAAAAACATGCAGTTGGGATGAAGTGATCATTTTGAGTTTGGAACACGAACTTCCAGGGAAAATCTCACACAACTCCTGATAGCCCCAGTGAAGCTGCAACTGAAAACAACACCTACATAAGTTTAAACACAGTGGATCTACTACGCTTCTGTTCTCACTGTCGTCGTACGCTGGTCAGGTTACAAGCTTTTAGCCTAGTTCAAAAGGAGCGTGCGATGTTACTTGTTACCCTGCTGAGCCATCATAGAACTGAGGTGCTTGTCTTAGCCACTGCTGCTCATCGGTCAGTACTGTTTTACCAAAATCGTAGTTATTTCTCCTCTAGAAGAATGACCCATACAGAAGTTTTGCTAACTTGTAATAATTTCAGAGATATGTAGGTATAAAGAAAATTCTTTAAAGCAATGGGTTAAACTATAAAAAATGCTTGTGAATACGCAAACAGATCTATCACAGTTTTTCAGGAAACATTTTTTTCTACACGGGCTTAAGTATGTAAAATGCAGCCAAACGAAAGGATTCTTCCTGAGCTTTGAGTGCAAAGCTTTGTGCAGAAACCTTCACACTGCCTTGCCCATAGGCTGTCTAACAACTCCCAGGAAGCCTGACAGGTTTTCTGCCTTGTACGCATGGTTGCCCTCCCAGCCAGCTTGAATAGCAGTAAGTTCAGGGAAGCTATTTGGTCACTGAGAGAGACAACAGCCCAGTTAATGCTCACCAAGTCTGAACTGGGAAACAAAGCCCAGATTCCCCAGTCTCTAGCCACAGCTATCACATCTCACTGCTGTACGGCTGATGTGAGGTGCAAGGGGCAGAGGAACGAGGCTTCCCTGGTCAGTCCCAGTGGGAGACCCCCAATGAACATGAGATGTCCTCAGTCAACACCAGACTTCGAGGCTCTAACAGAAGAAACGGCAATAAAAGAATTCACAGGCCCAAACACACAGAGAAGCTTTTTGCATGATGCAGCAGGATGGTGAGCTACAAAAAGCCTTAGCAGAAGACACCTAAGGACGAAATATTCTTAACCGGATTAAGCACTTCAGGACTACATTTAGCTAAGTGCTTTTTGTCTTGTTATGAGCCAGAGCTAAATATAGTAACCAGAATACTTAAGAATAGTTTCATAAGGGTTGTATACACTCCTCAGCAAGATAAGGCACTTAGCACTACTGACAGCAGTATGTCTGCATGTTAAGAGTATTTTAAATAGCTCCAGATAGAATCTCTTTGACCTTAACTGTATTAACCAGAGGGATCAAAATTTATTTATTGCCTCCTGAAAATCCTCTCCTGCAACACTTGGAGAGAAGGATTCCTGAACTCTGTGGGCAGGTAAAGAGAGAGGACACTTGCCAGTGCTGCTAGCAACATTTTTCACCCCCACCTACAGTAGGTGAGGATCAGCTTTCTCACAAAGAAATGCACATCCATCGTTGCTTAATGCCCTCTGTAAAGTGAAAAGATTTTTTCTTCCCTTGTACAAGGAGTCTCAAAAAACACTCATAGCATTTTATATTGTAGACTTTTCAATTATGACAGTATTTGAAGTTGTTTCCAGGGTTACAGAAAGGGTAATGGAGTATGACAGCCTTAACAAGACAAATGGACTTCTCAGACACACAGCTAACAGTTAAAGCATTATTCCATGCTATCTGCAACTTTCTGGCACGTTTTTTACTGAAGAGAGAATGGGAGAGGGAACTTTTAAAAAATTCTTTGTTTTGCAGAACTGTTTGACTTTAGGAGCTATCTAAAACTGCAAACTTTTGACTAAAGGTTTGTTTATTGGCTTGCTGCAAATCATCAAAATATTAACATACCTTAAGATAGCTCTTAATGGAACATCACATTAGTAAGAATTATCCCCTGAAACCAACAGTTCTTATGAATGTTTCATTATAGCTTTAATTTTAATTATTTGGTTATGTCACTGATGGCAAGGCAAAGATCGAATGCTGCACATTTCTTTGTGATCAGCAACAAATAAAACTTTCATCGCTCACCTAAAAAGGGTCCCTGAACCCAGCTAATTTGATTGCATTTCTCAACTATATCAAATGGTCTAATTAAAAAAATTCTCTGTGCATAAAAACTTCATTGTGCTTGTATTTAAATTTTCATAAAATTT